GTAATCCTGCTAATCACATTTTTACTAAATGTATCATGTAATTCCATTACCTATAAAGTGTTTACATTTTTTTTTTTTTAAAGACAAGTCCCAGGGGCCAGATGCACCAATTGCATACTGTTATGGTGAAGAGCACCTTCCTTTCAATCGTTTTATAAAAAATTTAATGCATTAGAAATGGTGCATGCATGGACTACTTTAATACATCTGGTCCCTTGAGTGTGTTTTGAACAGATAACAGCTGCTTGGCACCTTTAATCCAACCACAGACTTCCTCTGCAACCAACTTCTCTTTGGGAAATTTCTACATCTTGGACCTTTTGCCACTTTCCACCACCACAGACCACAGAGTAGACACAACTGTGGCTACATCATGGCTAAACAAATAATTGATTCCACATGAGTCTCATTTCACCACCCATGCTGATTTCTTACATCTACTGCATCTGATCAATGATGTCATGTGTGCTCATTTTGGTTTGCGTTTCACACATTTAACCAAAAGACTTTCTCTCACAGGATTTAAATGGAAACTGTGTGTTTTTGTTTGTTTGATGGTTACATATGTGTGAAACAGATCTGGGCGGTGGACTGCCGGATTTTGACCCATGAAGGTTAATGGTAAGCAGAATCCAGAGACAGACTATGAAACAGCTTCCTTGGGAAAGAGGGTGGAGGCTGGATGCTCTTTGCCAAACTTGTGGGGAAATTCATGGCAAGGCTCTGAGGAGGGCTGCAGCCATGATGTGTAATCACAGATGATGCAATGTTTTAAAATCAGGGCAGAGAGTTCATTCATTCAGTCAGCCTGGGTCTGGGTCATCTGCACAGAGACTGCTTTCATCAAGGACAGACATGTTTGAAGTAGCTCAGTGTGTATTTATATGATAAAATCAACACTGCAAAAAATAAATCTCAAGAAAGTAAAAAAGCCATGTTTCTGGGAAACCATTTTGTCAAGAATGTTTTGCATTATTTTTGTATTTTTGTATTTCTTTATTTTATTATACTTTATTAATCCCCTATTGGGGAAATTGTTCTTTTCACTCTTTTTTTATTTTACACACACACAGGCTGAAATACACACTTCATGCACTTGTGGAAATGCAAACAGGGAGAGAGATGGTGGAGTGATTAGAAAGTAATCTGATTTAAAGAAAATATATCTAACTTGGTCTTAATAAAATATCATTACTAATATTGAGCTAGATTTAAACAGTAACAAGTTACAACAATGGTTTGCATAATATCTTAGCAGAATAAAAGAGTATTTTCCTTATTTAAGAGTAACTGCTTCTCAATTTAAGAGAAAGTAGTCTTGACCCAGTGTTGTAAATTAAGGTGCTGTTTAGTTTTTCATACAAATAAGATAATAAGAATGCTTCTGGTGCCTTCATTTAAGTCAGTCACTTATTTTATTAGTGTATTATTATTATTATTATTGTATTATTGTATGATTTTGTTTTGATAATTAATAATATTAGATTATGGTACAACTTCATAGATTCAGCTTAATAAATTAACCAAAATACTTAAATAACTGAGTTTTCTTCACTTGTAATAAACACAGCTTGCTTAAATGTGTGGCCCATTATAATCTTTTAGTGGCTAGATTTTAATGCTAGTTTTAAGAGTTCTTGTCAAGCAAAGCTGGCTGTTTTTACAGTGAATTCTATTTTTTCTTTCTTTCGATGAAAGCCCCATGTGAGGTTTAATACTTGTTTGTGGGAATACTTCCTACCCAGTCAGTAGAACCACTTAACGTAAGTTACTGGATGTTGGCATATTTGGAGCAGGCTTCAGACACTGCAGCAGTGGCTCCATCTGGTTGGGGCCTGTGATGATATGGTTGGTGTGAACCAACCAAGTCCTCAAAATGAAACCACAAAATATGTCATTTGTAATTGCCCCCCAGGACAACACAGAAGTGTGCCCCTATTGGCAGGATGACATCATTTGTCAAGGTCTTTCAATACCGTAATGTTGCAAAAAAAAAATTGTTTTGATCTTACACAGGTTAGTGAAAGATAATGCTTTTGGTTAAAGTAACTTTTTAGTCAAGGTTTGAGAAACATCCTACATGACATGTCTCTACATGAACATGTGTTGGTTTTCTGAAACAACTAATGCTTTTGTTACTCATTCTCAGAACTTTGTGTGTGTTACAACATCCAAATGAAGCTCTTTATCATGAGGTGCAAGGAAGCAGAACAATGTAGTCCTGTTTTAATATTTTAACTCCTAAATCCTAAAGTGATACAGTGTAGTTTTAGGAAACGTTATTGTACATTTTCACAGATCTTACTGTGAAAAAACTTTTAAAGCTGAACTAATTAGTGTTTTTATATTAACATGTGTGAAATGAACAGTGTTGGGTTAGTTACTCAAAAATCAAAGTCAAACATGACTTTACTTATTACTCCCCGCTAACTCAATTACACTATTAGTTATATTACAAAATTCAGACTTCACTTTTTCACCAGTGTGCAAATATCAGGATAATCGCCCGGTCAGCGCAGCTAAAGCCCAAACGGGCAGTTTTCTGCAGCCTATGCATCTATAAAAGATACAGACGGTTGACGAGACACCATCTTTTCAATTACATCTGTTATTCAGAGACAAGATTGTCTAGATGTAAGAAGAAGATGTATAGATATACATTGTCCTTGATATTAATGTAACACCGCTGTCAGGTTGTCAACTAGTCCCCCTGTACATTAGCCAGGTAATCACAGTTCAAATTAAATGAATCAGACACATACGACACTGATCAATGAATGTCATTTTGTCATGGTGTGACTGACCGGAACTAATGTTGAACAAATACATCAGAATCACCAACATCTGAGGGCATTCAGATGTCCCAGACCTGGAATTATTCTTGGTGGAAACTAATTCACATCCAGCTCCAATTAAAAAATGACTGAACTAAAATATTCTCTATCTCTCAACTAAAATGTGATGTAATGGGAGTTTTGTGAATGGTGACGTCAGCCCACTGAGGAATACCAAGAATTCTGGGAGAGCGAGTCTGAGGCAGAACAAGTAGACTCGTGTTAGCTTCTGATAAAGCTGTCCTGATGATGACAGAGCAGCAGCAAATCACTCTTACATGGTTTATCTAGAAATAGCATTTGGGAAATGTACAATCCCATTAAGGAGATTAGTCACTGACTGCTGATTGAGCCTGTGTCGGTGAGAGTGATATAATGTGATGAATGAATGATACAGAGCCTGAAATGCACAATTGTTTCTTGCCTTTTTCTATTCCATGGTTGGTGTGTGAGGATGGAAATAGAGTGCTGCTAAAGTTTGCTATCTGTTGCAATGAGAAAAAGGACTAAACACCAATCAGGGCCTTACAGTGTTAATATTTAACATGCAGTACCTGTACATTGCACATTGTTGTAGCATTCCAATCCCTCACATGATAATAGCCATATCATTCATGAACAGTGGTTTCATAAACAGCATTCGTGTATCCCTATCTTAAAAAAAATCTTAATCTAAATCTTCCACTCTTATTCTGCTACACTAGGCTTTCCTTTCAAAGCAGAGGCAGAGGCTCTGTGTGCTGTAATAAAAAGGCCCAGGCAAAATACACACCCCATTATAGTAAAAAACAAAACAAAAATAAACAAGTGAGATAAAAATCCACAGTCCTTAATCTGTGTTAAAATAGATATCAAAATCTGCAGCAGCAGAGTTAGACAAATCAAGTGAATATCTTCCAGTGTTTTATAGTCAAGTTTTTTCTCTGGACAGTGTTGTTAAGCTGAAGTGATGGAATAGTTAAAAAAAGGAAGACATTACCTTTATTAAAGAATCTTAGAGTGTTGAAGCCTTGTTTTAGCTTTAGAAATGCTTTGGAATGGACTGGATTTTACAAAGAATGAGGACTGTGGATTTTGTCCTCCATTTCTTCCACTGAAGGCAGATTATGAGGGGATATAACTACGCTTTAGGTGACAGGATCTGAGCAAGCAAAACCAGTTTCAATGTTCATATGGGCACCTGACCTTTGTTTTAAGACAGACTTGGAAAAACTGTGAAGCTATCCTATAACACAGGCTGAAGAGCAGTGTGTCACTGCCACTTCTGACTGAAAGTTTCAGTGCATTTCTACTTTGCTGCAGCTGTAAACACATCCAATTGCAATGTCATACTGTACTTTGTATTAAAATAAACTGCAAAAAATGAGGGCTGCCAATATGGTAAAAAAAATCAAATTGCAATTGTGGTGTGAGTCACAATTATTGATAATATTTCAATTCATTGCCCAGCTAAAATAGACCAAATATATAAAAAAAAATGTTCCATGTACTGGATTTCACGTCAAGAAAGTCTATGCATATAGATGTTGGACTGAAATCAACTAAAACCAATTGCTGACGAGTGATATACTGTAACTTTGCAAAATGGTCAGCTATAAAAAAAAAGGATATACCACTTGTAATGAACTGGCTAAAATGGCTTTCATCCTAGAATGAATATAAAAATTACCGCAAAATAACAGCTATGACATTATCTAAGGGAGCAGCAATAGGCCTGCAGAGTGCCTGACATCTGAGTCCCAAGATAATGCAGAAGTTAGGTTAGTCAAACACTTAAACACTGACACCAACTCTGTAATAATATGTTCCTAAAGCTCTTCCTGTGATGATTTAAAGGTCCAATGTGTAACATTAGGAGGATCTATTGTCAGAAATGGAATATAATAGCCAGAGGTATGTTTTCATTAGTGTATAATCACCTGTATTTAGGAATCGATTCCACCTTCTATGCAGTCTGCCATGTTGAACCACCTACAGTAGCCCAGAAGGGGCAAACCAAACACTGGCTCTAGATAGGGGCATTTGTGTTTTTTGTGTATTTCACAGCCTACACACTTGGAAGACTGAGCTGTGTTCAAATGACCACAAATCCCCGCTAGACACCACTAAATCCAACACACTGGGCCTTTAAGGCTATTTTCCAAAAGAAATTCAAGCAAGCAACTTTTACATATTTTATTATTTGATACCTCACAGTCAAGGTTTACATTCCAAAGTGAATATAAAGGTTTAAAAACATCATGATTACAACTTGAGTCCTTTGGCTTTCCATTTCTAGTCTAATCTATTATTTGTTTTATTATTAAGTCATCACATGTAAAAGTTTTGATTGAAAAGTGTTTAACAACACACAATGCTGACAACTGAAGCTGTAGAGTCTGTGTAGAGTGCCTTCAGAGCCCCAGATTCTGATGGTCAGTGTGTTTGCTCACGCAGCCTCGTGCACACCTCATGCAGCTCAGTGATGAGTTGTTCCAGAGCAGTGACACCATCCTGCAGATCAGCGTGGATCTGACCCGTGGCTACATCTGTGTGCATTTGCTGGAGACAGAGTAATGAAGATGAAGTGATGATGTAATGTACTGAGGTTAACATCATTATTATTTTACTCATCAACAGTGGACTATTTGGATGTTATTTGGTGTAATGTACTGCTGCCATTCACTCATATCTTCTTGCATCTTGAGTGGAAACGAGAATGCATTTTTGAAGCTATCAAAGTATTAAAAAAAAAACATTTTGTGAAGGATCCCTTAAATTTGGTTAAAGAATGTTGACCAAGATATGCCCTAAGCAGGACATTTTAATAAATCTGCCACTGCTCTCTGGTGGACAAACTATATATTAGCAACACTTTTTAAATACAGACGTATCTTTGGCATCATCTTTGGTATCGCTTCAATTTGTAATGTGTACACACTGTACAGTTTGGATTTTTAAAATCTTAGCAAAAACTGTGTCTCTTAGCTGTTCAATACCAATGAAATGACAATTACAGTAACCTTGAAGTGCAAATCACAACAGCAAATGCCAAAACACAACAAAAAACTGGAATGTGCAGCAGCTTATACTTTCAGTCTGTGAATTTACAACATTAGCTAATGTAACGTTAGCTCAGCAGCTAGTCAACAGGATCAATTTAGATATCTGTTATCTTAGCTTTAATTATCAGACATTATTAAATATAATTCCACTTTTCAGTAGGTAATATGCAGAATGATGAAAACGTAATTTCAAGTCACAGTACTGTAGCTGCTATAGTCAATTTGTCTCGTTTTCCAGTTAGAGTCATTGTTAAGATGTTTGAAGTTGACTTTAGGTTAAATACTGTTTAAAATATTTGTCAGTTAAACCATGATGAAACAAAAGGGGAGTAATTAATCACCCTTTGTTTAGAGTAATCAAAAACAAAACATGCCTGTGATAGTAATAGTAATATGCCTGAAATATATATGTAAGTTTATGTAGAAATATATATGTCTAATATTAATTCTCATATCACTGTAAAATTATTCTATGGCAATATTGTTTTTTTCTCCGCTTTGCAGTGACCCTTCTCCCAGACAATTCCGACTCAAACACTGGGGTTAAAAGATTTCCTGTCTACGAATAGTTCAACAAGACTGAATGACCTGGGTGCCAAATGCTTGTAAATCTCCATGTCCACGATTCTTTATGGATTTGTAACCTGTTCAGATAGACAACTTTATTGATGTGGTCTGGTGAAGATGTTGTGTCAACCTCCATGTTGACATCAACAACAGGACAGTGTTATGAGCTCCCTGCTGCTATCTGCTTGTTGCAAATTACTGAGGGAAGTTCAAGAGCTTTAAAGTAGAACTATGGAGCCTGAAATTATTATACTGCAATTCCAGCCAATGCATTATTATCAAGCAATGTGGCAGCTGACATCTATAGTCTGCATTTTATATTTTGTTGCCACCAGCACTTTGTATGTTTAAGCATGTCTGTACTGTATTTTCTGTTTTGTTATGAAAGAAGACTGCCTTCACTTTTTGTTGTGGTCAACAAGGCAGCCCTGTTCAGACTCAAGATGCAAGAAAAGAACAATAAACACAGTAACACCATGTACACCATCATCACGATGTCATAAAGAGCGGGAGTGATCTTCAGGGACAGCGTGGACTGTTATTGGTGGACTATACCTTAGCTTTGGTGGCCAGACTCCTGAGGCTGAGGCGGGCAGAAGAGAGCATCTGAAGAGCTTCTGTTGGATTGCTCTTCTTTTTACTGCAACTGATGGTCACTGAGAAACAGAGAGATATATTCAGAGAACGGATCCAGCCTGTTGGATTAGTTGAATTAGTGTTTGTTTGTTGTGTTTTGTCCTGGATTTGAACTCGGTATATTTTACTTTTGTATATTTTATTTTGTATATTTATACTGTATGACAATGTAGAAATTAAGAAAACGTGTTATGTGTAAAAAACGCATGGAGAGGGCCAGCCAGGCTGCTTTCATCCTTTTTTCCAAGGGCTTGGGAGGTTGCGCTACTGCTGAGCCTGCTGTTACTAAGCAACCAAAACCTGCGGGCTGCATGACGATAATGAAGTTGCGGTAATTTAGTAAGCCTCACTGACTTAACTAATTAAAAGTCAAAACAAAGATATACGGCCTACCAGCACCGTAAATCCCACGCTCTATTTGTGTGGAAAAAAGAAAAAAGCATCTTAAAGCTGTATAGGTAACTTTCATAAAAATATTTATTTGCCATATTTGCTGAAACTTTCACTATATCCTGAGAGTAGTACAAAAAAAAAATGTGGTTCCTCTGGCCAAGAAAGATATCCGATTGTTGAGTCTCATTCCCAGGGCATCAATTATGAATGCTTTGGGACCCTGGGAATGAGACTAAACGATCAAATACCATTATTTTCATGCTAGCTCCTGTCTACTTTTCTAATGTTTAATTCAGCACTGTGTGTGTGTCTTGCTGTAATGAACGCATATGGGGATTGTGGAGATTTACAAATAAACTGGAATCAGAGACACATCTCTCCCATTTTCCTCCCACTGCTGCTCATCGCTCCATTCCATCACCTCTTCTGCCCCACTGAGAAACCAGAACTGATTCATTGGTTTGTTGAAGATCACATAGCCATGGGTTAAAAGGTAAGCGGCCTGTTTGCCTTCATTTCACAGGGAGGTTTGATCACCCATCTATCATGGTTACTGGAGGAACAGCAGAATAGAATAGGAGTCATGATGGCCCAGCTAGGACTGGATTAGCTTCTGGCTAATGTCCGGTGCAGACAAAATAGAACAATGGGAAACCAGAGACTGTTGTGCCCACATCATTAGAGAGGCCTGCTTCATCAACATCCTGGATCCTCGATGGGTGGACCGTGTTCCGAGCCGAGTGCAGGACGAGAGTAGGGGGACCCTGTGTTTATATCGATGATGCTTGGGGCTCAAACGCACTCAAAGTGGACACTTTTATGTGAAGATGAAACCATATGATCATCACTTCTGTTTACATTCCCCCAGATGCAAATTCAAAAGATTCACTGCAGAAATGGGAAGAAAAGTCCATTGTCGGGTTGAAAAATTACAGCTTTGTCTGAGACACAAAGTAAAGTAACTACTGGTGCAAACACAGGTAAGGTTCCTAAAAATTCCCGGGGTTACTGAAAAAGTTCCTGTGTTACAGACCTGGTTTTGGTTTGATCTATGTGAGCACATAATAAACTAGTAACTTAATATTGATTATGAACCCTTAGTCCAATATTAAGTTACTTTGGTGAGGACAGACATTACTGCTTTCGTTAGATCACTGCTGTCAACAATATGACATAGTAAGCAGGACTTCTGTTCATCTCCTCCCTCTGTATTAGAAAGGAGTTGCTACTGTTCAGTCAAAAAATGCTTAAATGGTTTAGTCATGGCAAAAAGAGACTCAGTCATCGAATGATCGTACATGTTGCCTGGAATAAACCAAGGTTTCTGTGTTCATGTGTGGATGGTGGTTCTACAGCTGGATGGTGCACTCACCTTCACCCATATTGATGGCTCTTTTGATCACCTCTTTGAAGAGACCAGGTTCTTTCTCCCAGCCACCAGTCTGAACCTCGCAGTGATGGGCCTTGGACAAGAACTGTAGTGCCTGAAAACCACACGATAACACTACCAATGTTTTAGGAGGCAAATTAGGTCCCATATCCACTGTACATTTGCCATGGAGCCTTTTTCATTTCATTCCTCAAGTGGCAAAGATAAAAATCAAAAATGCATTTAAACTTCCTGGTTTGGTAACAAACGGTTTGAAGGGCTACCTTCAAAAAAATCTGACTTGTTCATTGAGCCTTGGGATAAGTGCAAAGTTCAAATATTTTAAGCGTCTTAAGTGATTTTGCATTGCTACTTTGTGCTGACTTTGCATGGCTGTGAGTGGGTAACTATGTGGAAATGTGATTGGGAAATGTTAAAAACATGTTGCAGGCGCACAAACCTTTTCGTTGTCCTCTGGGTTGGAGCTGTGGCCATCACTATATAACCGAGCATACTGCCGCCATATCTCAGAGTCACTACTCTGGCGAGAACTGACCCGCCCCAGGAGCTCCTTCATTTTGGGCCGGAAAGTTTCTGCTTGCTCACCCTGGCCGTCCGTCAGGTTTTCAACAACTGCTCTTACAAGGATCTGTAGAATCTGCCATGGGAAAAAAAATGATACAGATGTCAATGTCAGATTTGTGTTCAAATATAAATCACAATTCATTAAGTCAGAGGGGATTGTCATGGGTTTAAATTTTTACCATCATGGTCTTACTGGTTTATGGTAATTACACCAGAATTTCCATGATACGTTGACACTAAATCACATAGGGCAGAATGAAGAGTTGAAAATGAGTTGAAACTATTCAGCTAGTAATGTCACTGGTTGTACCTTAATCATAGACAATGAGAGATAAAACACCTGTTTTGTTCCAACATTATTTTCGTCAATTGTGACTCTTTAATATGATACAATTATGTCAATGAAAACTAGCTGAAACTTAGAGATTAGAGATTTTTTTTCACAGAGAAAACAAGACAAGGTAAAAAAGTAACCACTGAAAATAAGAACAATGATGAAATGTCAACAAATAAACGGCAATAGAACTCCTGGTTCGTAAAACCATATATTCCGACATCAAAAATACCTCTTGTTCAGAAGCGGATTTAGCTGCTCGACCTGTTGCTTAAAGTTTAATAGGAAGCAATTCATATTGCCTACCTAAGCATCACAGAAAACAATGCAGCAGGTAAGTAATTTGATCTCAACTTCACTATTAAATGTTCAATTTCTTTACACCGTGTCAGAGCTGTATTAAATTACTGCTAATGCAAACATAACTACTCCTACTGCTGCGGCTTCAAATTAGAAGCATTTAACTAGCCAGACACAGAGTGGCTTTTATTGTGAAGCAGCCATAAGAAGTGTAATGTGTTTGTCACTGTGCACAGTGCTGTTTTATTACAGACAAAGTAGCTGCTCAAGCTAGAGTCTTGAACAGCATTGCTGTTACCACAGTGGATAGATATTGGCAAATCAACCAGGACTAAAAACAAAGATTACAACTTTAAGAATTAATGCAAGGCACTCTTAAATGTAGTAATACAATCATGAATGAGAGTCAGTGCATAGGTTAAGTAGGTGAAGTAAGTGAAGTAGTAGAGAGGATGAACCGTCTGTCATCATCTCAGTCTTTCCCACCAACCCCTTTCTTCTGCTTAGAGCATTATCGGTATCCTGACTTGAGTTCTAGCTGAGATCTGCTATCTAGAAGTTCTCCACCTCCCACAAAGTAAATAATGAACCATTTGTCAGTTTTCTTGTTTGAGTGACTGGAAAGCTAACTCTGTAACATCACGTCAGACATCATGGACGGCATATATTATCTGTATTTTACAAGCAAAAGAGGCCAGTGGTATTGGTTGAAAGACACACACTGCTGGTAATATTTGAGTGTCTCTGATGTCAGTCCGGTGATGTGACATTTCCTGTGATGAGGGTGGATTAAACCATAAAAAGGACTTTGTTTGATGTATTCCCCTACATTATGCTGTCCATTACTGTGGTAAAAAGTGACACAAAGGATAGAACTAAATGAATTACTTATTCAGATTCCTGCTGGATCCAGTTAGGGTGTGAAATTAAGTTCTCTGGTGGGGAAAAAAGGACAGCAACACGAATGACAGGCCAGAATTTTCTATGAAGCTCATCTTGAAGTTTATTTAAGCTTTTAGATCACCAATAGAAAAGAAGACTTTTTGTCCCTCAAGAGATTCTGTGTATAGTGTCTGTGTTTGAATGAGTGTGTGCGTGGGAGACCTTAAGGTTCCTCTGTACCCCATTAAACCCCATGAGGCACAAAACTTAGCAACCCTCAGCTCCTTTGAAATCTATCAGCCAGTCACAGCATGTCTGTCACCAGCCCTGTACACATTCTATAAGAGACGAATTCATGGTGGTCCCTGCCACCATCTCTCCTTTCCTACTGCTCCACCTCTCACGCTCTGTGCCTGGGCTAAAAACAACCACAAGGAAGAAATATATGAAACAGAATAAGGCAGAATTGTTGTTTCTAGAAATGTGACTGATCTAATTATGGTGATAAGTCTGCTACAGCAGATGTTGACTCTAGACAGCAGTAACTAAACAGTTTAAGAAAGTCAGCAGCCTTGTGGTTGTAACTGCATATAAAACATTTGAAAATTCAACATTCTGATTAGTAGCTGACACGTTGCGGGAGGGTTAAAAGAGAGAAGGGGAAAAGAGAGAGAGAGAGAGAGAGAGAGAGAAAACAAGGAACATGGTGTGCATATTTATGCACAAGGAGCGTCTTCATTGATTATTTAAATTTCCCAACACACACACACACACAGGATCTGCTGTCTTCTTTAAGGTCTCACAAAGTCCAGGTTCATAGAGAGAAAGTGTTAGGAAAGTGTGACAGAGACTTTCAATATTTTGAGATGCTATGTCATTATTTTGTTAAGTTTCTCATGTGGGGTTGCTATGATAAATCACAGCAGTACCATGGGGTTCTGCATAGCTAGATAGCTAGATAGCTAGATATCTATATAGATATAGATATATATAGATATATATCTATATATATCTATATATATATATATAATATATATCTATATATATCTATCATAGATTATATATATGATTAGATTATATATCCTATATATATCAATAATTATATATCTATTAATATTAGTATATATATATATATATATATATATATATATACTATATATATAGTATATTAATATATATATATAGTATATATATATATATATAAATATATATACATTATATATACTATATATCTATTATTATAATCTATATATCTATATAGAATTATCTATCTTTCTTCTCTTCTCTATTCTTTCTCTTCTACGTCTTTTCTCTCTTCTCTCTCTCTCTCTCTCTCTCTCTCTTTCTCTCTCGTTCTGTTCTTTCTCTCTTTTCTTTTCTTTCTTCTCTTTTTTCTTCTTCTATCTATTCTCTTCTTCTCTTTCCTCTCTCTTTCTCTATTTCTTCTCTTTCTCTCTTTCTCTCTTCTCTTCTCTCTTCTTCTTCTCTTCTTCTTCTCTTCTTTCTCTTCCTTCTCTTTCATTCTCTCTCTTTCTTCCTCTTCTTTCCTCTCTCTCTCTTTTCTCTCGTCTTTTCCTCTTTCTCTCTTCTCTTCTTTCTTTCTCTCTCTTCTTCTTCTCTTCTCTCTTCTCTCTTCTCTTCTCTACATTCTTCTTTCTTTGTCTCTCTTCTTTATCTATCTATTATCTATCTATATATCTATATTTATATTATTATATATTTTCATCTATATTATATCATATAACACAAGATAACCAGTCTACATATTTTTCTGAAATGATTTTAGGAGAGAAATAGGCAACGCAGTAACAGAATCTTGATTCATATGTGATCAGCACTGCCTATTTTGACAGTTTGATCTGAGTTTCATACTGTGCACTGGACGGACTGGCTGAGAATGACTTGTCAGTCACAAGGCAGCCACGCCCAAAAGAAAACCCAGCTTTATCGTCTATTTTATCTAAAATGGGGCCAGGCTGAGGCCAATACTCTCTTTGGAATGACACAGAAATTAGTATATTGTTTTTTTCTGCGTAGTATGGCAGTTTACAGAGGTTAAGTTTATGAATGTTAGATGTTTGCATCTAAAATAAGCCTTTGATAGTCTTATGGATGCCTACTGACAACTTTGGCTGTTTTTGTTAATCATGTGACCCTTGCCTTGAGGCCAATTCATTTAACTTCTTTCCAAACAAATATGATTTTGCACATCTTTACACTGAACTCATTTTTTCCTTCTTAACTTCCTTGCTGTTTTGCTTTTATAAAGACCTCCACTCCTGAGAGTCACAGCTGTATGATACATCAACTCCTCACACCCCATACAGTCAGAGAGTATAAGCAGTGCTTTACCTGGACATCCTTGTAGTTTTCCCTGAGGTCCATCAGACGATGGTATGCCTTGATGGCTTCAGCAAAGTGCCCGATGTCAGTGCTCACTACAATAAAGTTCTCCCAGATCTGCCAGTGTTCGTAGTTACACCTCAGGGCTTCCTGTAGGGTATGAAAGGCTTTGTTTCTGCCACACAGGAAAGAAAATATTTAGCAGTGAATGAGCTCAGTAAAAAATAAATGAATGTGCCAAATACACTTACAGCAGTTTCAGTAATATTAATTTTAACATTTGGTGAAGGAATGGTTGCCCCCCACACACATGTGCTTGTGCTGAGTTGGCAGCAGTGCTAACCAGGTATTAATAGAAGCTTTCCTGTTTTGCCTTTCAATTTCAGGCCTCAAAGCACACGAGTCTGATGGAAGGCTGAGGGACACTTAGGATTCACTGGAAACACAGCACAATGGGTAATTTCTGTGTGAACTCGTCTTTCGACAGCCAGAGCCATAAAGAACTCAGGCTTGAATGAAAAATGTCACTTTGTATTTTTTGGTAACGGTTTTGCCATAAAATACAGTGCCATACAATATGTGTTTTATTTGCAGCATTTTCTAAACTTGCAGTTTCATGCTTCTGCCAACCACTTAGGTTGCAATTTACATCCTTGTCTGTCCCGAGGCGTATGATATAAGTGGTGAATATTTGAAATATATTATAATAATATAAAAAAATATTTAAAAATATGCTCAATTCATTCCCAAGTTGAGGCTAAAAAAAGCTATTTTGAGATCACAATGACCTTTGACTTTTGAGTCAAAAGTGTCACCAATCTGTGAAAACTAATGGTGCCGTTTCCAAGAAGGATTCTGATGGTTCCCTGTGCTTTGCTGTTCAATGTTAAAATCCTATTAAATAAAACTTAATCCATTTGATTACCTCTTACTACCAGTGCAAGTTACAACACCTAAAACATGCTGCTCTAATAACATTTCCACACTCATACTTACTTCATTTGGAGGCGAATATAGGCTGTGGAGAGGTTGCTCCATGCTTCTGCGTTCTGCAAGGAGAAACAGAAAAAGAGGAAAAAAAAGAGACGAGTAAAGGGAAGGAGAGAGTAAGGAAGAAGCAGTTGAAAATAATAATAATAACTGAGCTTATAGAAGAATGGTAGGGAATACACAATTTTCAATAACCACAGTTATGCACAGAAGCTACCAAATGGTTCAGGGCTGGTGTGGAGATTGACCATTAAAGATGCTGGCCTGTGCCTTTGTGTGTGTGTGTTGTAGACAAGGAATGTGAATGACCGAACAGGAGTGTCAAAGTGAGAGACTGATGGGATTGGTATGTTCTTATTTTCTCCATGCACCAACAGCTTAAATTTATCCATCTTTTGATGTCGTTGGTGAAGTGGTGTGTGTGTGCGTGTTTGGGTGTGGGTACTTACATCTGGCTCTAGTCCCACACACCTATGGAAAGCCTTAGCAGCTCCCTCATAGCCCTCCAGGGCAAAGTAGGCACAACCGAGGGAAAACCACACACCGAGCTGTCCAAACACACACAAAGACGAACCAATAAAAGTGAATCAAAGTACTACATTTATGCCTAGATATTTCCAAAAAACAGTTTGTTAGCAAAATAAAGAGGTTTAAATAAGAGTCGACAGCCATGCTAACATTTTTTGTTTGGCCTTTTATTGCCTTTATTCGATAGTGACAGCTGAAGGTAGACAGGAAAAGGGGGCAGAGAGATGGGACAACACGCAGCAAAGGGCTGCAGGTTGGATTCAAACCCTGGGCCACTGCAGCAACTCCGTACATGGGTCGCCAGCTCTACTGACTGAGCTAACCGGGCGCCCCGATGCTAACATTTTCTATCAATTAGGCCGGTCTGTACCATCCAATGGCAATCGATCCAGTGGTCCACTGTTGAGATATTTGCTCAAAACCAAAAATTTCAACGTGATGGTGGTGCTAGTTGAGAATTCAGGGGGATCACTCAGGGGGATGACTCACCAAAGTCATCAGTAGTGGTGTGGTGATGCCTGGACAAGTGGGTATACTTGTACCCCAATTTTTTATTTAAAGTGCCTCGTCCAGCAAAGGATAAACGCCCCGCATTATAAGCAGCAACATGTAAGACTACTCTTGTACACCAAACCATTATTAACACTGACAAGTGAAGTGAATAACACTGATTATCTGGTTACCATGGCATGAAAAAATGGGCAGCATGAGGATGTGAGTGACTTTGACAAGGGCCAAATTGTGATGGCTACTCGACTGGGACAGAGCATCTCCAAAACTGCANNTCTGCAGTGGTCAGTACCTATCAGTACCTATTTAACTCACCCAAAAATGGGCCAGTATTTGTATATTATCACCTAACTTAATGCAGTGAGGATCATTATAAAATTAACATTAGCCATTGAAGAGGAGAAGATTTTGCAATCAAAACTGACCCACAGACAACTACGTAATTATGCATTTTGAAGTCCTTATTCCATCCAAAATTGGACCAACTATGAAAAACTGGAATAACAAGCCATTCTAAGAAACAAAATTCAGCTTGCAGAACACTACTGAATAATGTGCATCAGAGGGAATTCAGCAGTGGATGAATCCAGTATACTCCGTATACCTGCACATACCCTGCACCGCACCACTGGTCATTAGAATATATTGTCTGGAAACCAAATTAAACCATTAATTTAGATTCCTATGCAGGGTGTCTGGGTTCACTATTAGAAAGAGTGTGTTCTACTCCAGGCTCTGGAGCAAACAGAGAACCATCACTCCATCACATTTTAAAGAGCTGTTCAGATGGTTCTGGCAAAAGGTAAAAGCCTCCTTGTAGAGATATTTCAGGTACATCTATCTAGGAAGAGACTCTAGGACAGACCCAGAACAGACAGAGAGGGATTTGATAAGATGTAGTGTCAGGGATCCTCATCTGATAAGATTTTGTTCTTCCATACCTGTCTATACTGTAAATTGGTACATTAACAGTGAAGAGTGTAAAATCTATGAACAGAGTAGTCACTCTCTTACATTCAATCTGATTGAATGAACTAAAAAATAAATAATTAAAAAAAGATTTCTTGGGACACCCTGGAACTCCCCTCAAACACCCCTGGGGAATCCCCAGAGCCCAGCCTGACAAACTACTGCAGTAGGAGAAGCTGGTGGTAGTGGCTACGCTGTAAAAAAGGAATGTCAAGAAAGTATATAAAGACTTGTTTCTGGGAAATTAGTCTTAATTTAATGTTTTAGGAAAATACATCTTATATTACAGCTAATATTGAGCTAGATTTAACCAGTAACGACAATGGTTTGCATAATATCCCAGCAGAGGAACAAGATTATTTTCCTTATTTTAAGAGTAAGAAACACTTCTCAGTTTAAGAGAAGGTAGTCTTGTCCTAGTGTTGTAAACAAAGTAGCCGTTTAGTTTTTCATTGTTTTAAATAAAAAGTCACTTATTTTTATGATGCTGTTTGAAGAAACTGTCTTTTCCAATTATTTAATCTTAAGCTCTATCGTAAATAACTGAGTTTTCTTTGCTTGTAATAAGCACAATCTGCTTAAAATGTTTGCTATTTTTTCTAGTTTTAAGGCCCATTACAGTCTTTCAGAGGCTAGATTTTTATGCTACTTTTAAGAATTCTAGCCAATCAAAACTGGCTTACAGATTTTTTGCTCAATACAAGAAAATATGATTATATTTAAGAATATTTGGCATGTTTCTAGAAGGGCTGTTTTTGCAGTGTACAGGGAGGGGCAGCTGGGCTACTTTGCTTGGCTTGATATCAAAGTAATACGGACCTGAATAAGTGGTAGAAAATTGATTGATGGATGTTTTCTGTCAATAACCGGGTTAAATAAAAGTTAAAGATTAGGCATGTGAAGGTTAAATGGTAAATGGACTGTATTTGTATAGTGCCTTTCTAGTTTTCTGACCACTTAAAGTGCTTTTACACAACATCACAACATACCATATTCACCCATTCACACATATTCATACGTTGATGGCAAAGGCCATCAAAAACAGAAGCTAATGGTCATTCCAACATGTTCATACACCGATTTACACATTGGGTGCAATTTGGGGTTCAGTATCATGGTCAAGGACACTTCAACAAGCATTGAAAGGTGCCAGGAATCAAACTACCAACCTTCTGATTAGTGGACAACCTGCTCTACCTCCTGAGCTACAGCTCACATTTTTTTTGTGTTAAGCCAGAGATAGATGTAGATAATTTCTTCAGCATCCCAAAACAGTTTACATGGTAGAATAAAGGATCATCTCCATTCCTTATATAAACTTTCATACATTCTAATAGACTTCACAAAAAAAATCTGAAAATCAGTATGAGCACACCCCTGACCTGTTTCATTCCTTTCCAATTAAATTTAGGCTGAACAACGTCATTACTTTGTACCTGCATGGTGTTGATATTAAGTGAGTGCTCAAAGCAGTCGATGCACTTCTGGAACTCTTTGTTGTGGAGGTGCAACAGAGCTTTGGAGCGCATGGCTCTGGCGCTCCGCTGGCCCGACAGCTCCCAGGCCCGGTCGTAGTACTGATGGTCCCTCAATATGTCTCCCAGTAGGCAGTAAAGACTGGACGTCTCTGTCTTCTTCAACTCCCTGCGAACAATCTCCTCGGCCTGAGCAAATGGACGGGGACGGACAGGGAGGTCAGAGTGGAGGAGGTGATGGGAGGAGGTGATGGGAGAAGAAAGGAGGCAGTCGTTGTAAGAGAAAACAGCAAACCAAAGATGTGAAGAACTATAAGGCTGCTCGTGGGATGCAAAATGAACAGAATAAAGAAAGTGAAACAGGTACAGAAAGAATATGAACAACAAAAAGAGTAATGGGAAGACAATGATGTGCAAAAAACATAACAGATTAGATTGACAGATAAACAGAAATGAACAACAGAAAATGTAAGGTAGGGGTTGTATTACAAGTAATGTGTCAAATTACCCGTGGAAATCTGCACTCAGTGCACCTCACCATGCCACTACATGCTTTGGATAGCTCTTGGACTTAGGTGAGACTCACACTGTTGTGAGGTTGGAATAATGAACAGATTGTTTTCTCTTTCCAAATCCCTGTATCTCGATTTGGATTGTGAAGCGCACCAGTCCAACCACTGAAAGGCTGCGGGCCTCTGAGGACTGACAGAGCCTGAGTTTTACTGCATTCCTTCTCTGAATCCTCCTGTCAGAGGCCTGATGTTGGGCCAAGAGTGTGACCCGCCTGGAAACAAGAAACCCTGCCATTCTTTTCTAAACTACACGACTCTGAACAGGTTGTACCAGGTACAATAATCTGCAATTAAAAGGTACACAAAGCTTCTATTACACCCTGTGCACTGAAGATAATCAACCATCATGTTCTTGCTAGCATGGCTGTTATATAAAAGACACCTATTCCGCCTTGGAAGAAAATTAAATATTTAATTTGTCTGAATTCAAAGTTCATAGTGTTGTAACTCCCACTGTGGACTATATACTGCTGACTTGGATTTAATATTAAGTGATGCATGTCTTAGTTTGTGTTTGGACACATAGCATGAGTCCATTTAATTAGTAGTGTTCAAGCTGGTTCATTAACATTATAATTATTATTATTATTATCATTATTATTGTCATTATTATTTATGCAAAATTGACCAGATGGTAGCGCTGTAATAAAGGCATGCCCATCACACCGTTAAGTCCAATTAACTTGAAATTGGACACAATTTTGGGGGGGGGGAGTATTTTTAATAAAACTAACTCTTTCAGTTCACTGTGTTTTCTAGTAGTTCTTCTAGTTTTCTATTGCTACTTTTA